ATTTATATAATATTTATGAAAATCTGTACTCCCCTTGTCAGGTATTTTAAAATAAAATAAAATACAAAACCCAGAATTTTAACACAAAAATAGCTTATTTTTGAATACGGTAGTCATTTTTACCATGAAGACAAATCCAGAGGTCAAATTTTTTTTTTTTAAATTAAAGTATATTACATAAGCTTTAATTTAATATATATATATATAAGTGTCAGTCTTTCCGGAACATTTTCAAAAGTTAAGTTGAAAAATGTCTACTTTCTATACGCATTTTATAAGGTTTGCACCCCCCCCTGTATAAAGGGAAATGGTCCGATTTAAAAAAAAAGTATGTCGAATGAAAGAGATATACATAAAGTATTTATTATTAAAAAATAGAATTGATTCATGCATTTTTTAAAAAGTTATGGNGTATGTCAAATGAAAGAAGTATATATAAAGTATTTATTATTAAAAAATAGAATTGATTCATGCATTTTTTAAAAAGTTATGGCTATTTTAAGTAAAAAAAATTGAAANTTATCAAACATTTTTCATCAACTTTAAAAAACCAAAAAAATAGGTTAAAAATGAAAATTTGGACTGATTATTTTTAACATACTAAAAATCAAATCAGTAATAATTTGAAAACNCTGCGATTTTTAAATTTGCAATTTTTTGGGGGATTTCCCCCGTTTACGGGGAACGAGGGAATTTTTTTCAATTTTTAGGGGTAATTTCTTCGACTAGATACGATTTGGGATCTTTTGACGTATTGTTCATCAAAATCGGTCCAGCGAGAGCTAAGATTGAGCGTTCACAGACACAAAAAATAAAATAAAATAAAACATATCATAGTAAAATTAATACCTTCTCAGCTTCGCATCGTAGTTAAAATATATTTTTAAATATACAAGTGTTATGAACATCTTTTTTNGCAGAGTGCTCGGCTAACAAAGTCTCACGTAATATTTTAAAAAATACAAGTGTTATGAACATCTTTTTTTTTAAATTATTATGGATCTTTGATGAGATGTTTCATAAGAAAATTTAAATTTCTACCNTTTTAAATATACAAGTGTTATGAACATCTTTTTTTTTAAATTATTATGGATCTTTGATGAGATGTTTCATAAGAAAATTTAAATTTCTACCACCATGCTTTATGCTTAAAACTTGTATCTACTTTATATTTTCAAATGGCAACACTATTTTTTTTACACCATTAGATATAGTTAAAAAAACGTATTTTATTTTATTTTATATTAAGCGCTGCATGGCTCTCTAAAGTTTAGTGTTTATTTTGAAAAAATTATAACAGACTCAAACGTCATGGGTCGTAAATCGATAATCGCTATCAATTTTATAAATAAACATACCAAACTTACTTACCTTAGTTATTCTGACTACGTGCGTTGACACAGTAAACCGGTAGCTCTAATCGCTACATAAATTAATAATGTAACCGTTTTAGAAAACTACTGAATTTTGTCATCAAATATCATAAATTATAAAGTAGCGTATCTTGTTTAAAATTAATAATTATTAATTTTTTTTTTTTGCTAAACATTTTTAAACATTTATTACTGTAAGATAATATCTAATATAAGAAAAAAGATCTAATTATAAAAATTATAAATTTTTAACCTAACAGCACTAAAAAAAATGATATTTTAACATCGAATTATTTTTATAATATCGATATATCCAAACAATGAATGTTTTTTATTTAGATGTGAATCATTATTTGGCCATCTCTACCTATAACGTATATTTGAATAATTTTTCTATTATATACATTTTGTGTCAAAATTATACAAAGTACAAATGTACAATATTATTTAATGATATCGCTGTAAAAATTACGACCTACATTACTGATTAATATAGGAAGGGTGGTCTGAGTATAGGATCTGTAGTTGTTATTTATATATGTTTAAACCAGTTCGATTCTTATCAAGTTTGTTATCTCTTTCTGCATAAAACAATATTTCATCACAGATTATATAAAATTATATTTATATAATGATTAGTATACTTGTATATGATATAAAGTGGTTTTATTTATATTTATAAAAATTTATTATATTACTTCACTATAATTTAAAAATTCTAATTTAAGTCCTATTTTAACAAAACTATTTATTTTAATAAATTTTACTTTTTTTATATTATTTTTTTAATTAAATGTAATATTTTTAAGTTTTTTATTGAATATATTTCCATATTTTTTGCTGATAAATTATTGGTTACTCAATGGATGATTTAGGTTCATCAGAAACCTTACGAATAGCATTACAAACTTTAGCAGAACGTTGTGAGAGATTACAAATGAGGTTGGATGTTGTAGAAAAAGAAAATGTAGCAATAAAGAGTAATTGTAGTTGTAAGAATGAAGCTAATTCTAAGAAACAAAATGATACTCGAGAACTATCTTGTAAGAAAGATCAATTAGTTGAATACTTAAAAATAGTAACAAATGAAAACCGTAAATTATGGACAAAGTTATCTTCTTTGGAAAATTCTGCTCATTTAAGTGATATGACGAAACCTAAAATGTCATTAGATTTGATGGATAACTACTTAAAATATGATGGTATATATATTTTATATCTGTAGTACTTAAAAAATATACAAAATTTAAATCTTTTTGTGTGTTTTTGCAATCTTATTCTTTTATTGAATAACTTTAGGAATATGATTTTTTAACAAATGAAGTTTTAAATTATTATGGTTTTTGAAGAAATTTAAATTAATTTTATTCATAACACTTAATTAAAAACAAGTTATAAATGATATATCATAATTTATAATACTGGAAGTAATAAAGTCTAAATGAATTAAAATGTATACAGAGCTCAATAATTAAAAAATATATATGTAAAATAGTTCTTTGATTATATAGCCTTGTTGAAGTACAACATGGTCAATTAATTTTTTATTGAAACTTAAATAATTTGAAAAAAAATTAATACGTATACTATATAATATACACTTGAAATATTGTTAAAAACATAATGAAATAATATTATCGCTATAAATAATATTATAAATTGATGTTGAATGATTTTTAACACATTCATAAGTATTTATTTTTTTTAATACATTTTTCTTTTTTTTTAGAAAGCAATGTTGAATTGAATCCTAATTGCATAATGGTAGTATAACTTGATAAACAATGTGTTTATGATATGGGTAATTTTTTCAATTAAACATAATTTTTAGGTAGCAGATGAAGAATTTACCAGCATAAAATATGATTCTGTCGATGAGTCTTGGCCCTTGTTATTATCAGAATTAAATGCTTACAAAGAGAAATTAACAGTAGCTAAACATTTACTTGCTGATCAAAACAACTTAATTGTCAACTTATCAGCAAAGTACAATATACTTATGGAAGGTATGGTTAAATATTTAATGATACATTAGGGATTTTTTAAGATAAATTTATATTTTTAGATATAAAAGCTGTAAAACCAACTATTGAGTTTCGTGATGCAGAAACATTAACTTCTACTTTAGACTCATGTCAGCCTGGTAAATGTACAATGCTTAATAAATCAAACAACCAAAGTATATGTCCACTTTGCAATCTATACATTGTAGAAACAGAAGAGAGTAAAATGTTTGAAAAATTAGTAGAACATGTAAGCAGTCATTTTCCTGAAGAAGAACCTGAAACTATTATTGATAGTTTGTCGGGACATTATTAATATATTTAATCAATAATTTCATAGAAATTTTTAAAACAAATTTATTTATTTTCTACTATGTAAATATATTTTAATTATAACTAATGTTATAGTAAAAAAGGTATTTTTCAGTTGCATTGCTAAACATTTTTTATTGTTTCTAGTTTTAAGCTAGTTCAGAAGGCTTGACATCTTTTGAGTCAGTATTGCTGATTGTTGTCCTTTGCAACAAATTCTTACTGAACCATGAAGGTTTTTCTCTTTTTAGTTCTATTATTCTTTTACCCTAAAATATATCATTAAAATTTATTTTTAAAGTATTAATTGAATAGATAATTTAAAACTTAACCTGCCAGAATTCTTCAGGTTGTTTAGCTCTTTCTCCTTTATATAGAACTACAACTTCTTGCTCTATTGGTTCTAGTCCTAATTCTTTCTCAATAGCTTCTTGCATTTCAGAAGTTTCAAGTTTAACTTTATTATAACAAGTGGCTAAAAAGAAGGTTACATTGTAAACATAAAATAGATTTTTTATTATTTTGTGTAAAAACAAAACTTACGACACAAGTGACGTTTTTGGTAAGTATGTCCACAATGATTGCATGTAAGTAAATCGGTACGAGGTAATAACATTTTATAAAAGTCATTAATACAACCAAATTTACGCTTTAAACGTTTTTCAATAGTTCTTCTATGCTTAGGCACAGCTAGTAAAATTGAATTGTTTAACATTTGGTTAACATCTAACCATCTGAAGGTTATTTTATTTGGTACATCATTCAAATGAGCAATGGATAATGCTGTAATGATTTTAAAAATCATTTAATTTTATAAATTTGAAGGTAAATAATAGATGAGAAATATTAAAATAGATCGAAATACAAACCTGGGGGAGGTGTTTGTCCAAAGAATACATTACACAAATAATCAATATTAGAGGTAAATTGGAGTTTGACTCGTTTTAAAATTAATAAAGTTTTCATAATGAAAAAATACAGCAAAAACTAAAATGTAGTATAAAATATTTATTATTAATGTGTCGAAAACTTTTTAAATAGAACTACACATCCGGTGTTTTCTCACGCCTCCTGAAAACATTATTTTACAATCTGTTATCAAATTATCAATGGCCATCAATTTGACCAAACCTGCAGTATAAAATTCTCACTGATAATTCACTACAGTGTTTTCTGACAAGATGACGTCACCATAATTGGGATATGTGATTCTGGGAAAGGTGTGGATTTTCTGATTGTTATTGTTTTCATTATTTTTAATTACGTTCATGGTACAACTTTTTATTAATGTATTACTATAACTTTAAAATCTTTTGATATGGAGTGCTGTTACTTTGAATGATTTCTATTCATGGAAATTACTTTTTTTAATTTCACAATGCTTAAAATCAGTGACGTATGATACCATACTGTTGGTCTCATAGGCAGAAATATCAAAGTACACCCATTGGATGTACAGAGGATATTAATATATTTTATTTACAATAATTAGTTGTTTTTAGTATTATTAAGATATAATTAAAACTTTGTCTTCATGTTGAACATGGCACACAATTTGGCTCCAAGTGTCAATTGTTCACTTGATGATATTGATCTCAATGCTCTTAAGGTGAGATATGGTATTTAAATACTTTAATTTATCCTAATAAATAAGATAAAGATGTTTCTTACATTATAAATTTTTTTTAAGAATCTTAATACTGACTATTAATTTTGGTTTAGGATCCAGCTGGAATATTTGAACTTATTGAAGTTGTTGGTAATGGGACCTATGGACAAGTATATAAGGTATAGTAATTTAAAAGTATAAATGAACTCATTTAAATTGCTAAATTAAAGATTTTTATTGAAATGGTTGAAACTTATTCATAATTATTAAAAAGTTTAAAATATTTTGTTTATTTCTATGGTAAGATATAAAAAAATAATGTATTCATAATTTTAGTAAATGTGTTACTTATTTATTTTTCACTGACTTTGTTTGTTATATAATGATTATTTTAATAATAAAATAATTATTGTAATAAATAATCCAATGTTTAACTTATGAAGAGTAGAAAAAACATTTATATTTATTTAATTTTAACAGTTATTAAATTATAAAGACTTAAAATTCTTAACTTTTAATTTCTAATATTTAACTATAATATAACCATTTCTATAAAAAATAAAATTATAAATTACCATCTCCCATTAAAATTGAATAACTTAAAAGGGTAAAAATGTAATACAATATATTTATAAATTACAATCTGTAACAAAAAAGCTTTTAGCCATTCTTATATATTGTATTGGCAATACAATTTTAAAATTTTTAATAATAAATATCGCTGTTTTTAAATTTTTAAATGTAATAATATGTCATAACAAATTTTATTTAAGCACTTAATAATGTTAGGTAAATGCTTTTCAATTAGATAGTATTTTCCAAAAGTTCTTTATTTTTTGATTATTAAATATTTTTTAAATATGGAATCAAATACATGAGTTATTTCATATGTCGTTATCAAACTTTACTGAATATTTGTACTTCAATAATAACATAGGTACTTTATTTTTGTTTAAGGGGCGACATACTAAAACTGGACAATTAGCAGCAATAAAAGTAATGGATGTTACTGAGGTATAATAAATATGTCTTTACTAGTACTGTATCTTAAGTTTACATTCTTATAATTTTATTATAGGAAGAAGAAGAAGAAATTAAATTAGAAATCAATGTCTTAAAAAAGGTATTATTAATTGATCATCTTGTTTTTTCATTACATACTGCTTGTCTATTACTTTAATTTTTATTAAGTGTAAATAAACTTTAAAATAATTTTTTTTTATTTTAAAACTTAAATTTTGCTGTGTAACTAAATTATAAACAGGATGTTTAGCTATGCTAGAGATATTATATGTTTCAGGTATTAATTTTTATGGAGGAATACTGTAGTTATTAAGAGAGTTTAAATTATTCTCATATAATCTCTATGAATTTTATATATATATTTATATATATTTCTGTTTTCTATGAACATGTATTTAAACATTTCTTATTTTCTTAGATATAAAAGTATATAAATGTTAAATAATTAAATTTTACAGTATTCTAATCATCGTAATATTGCTACATATTATGGAGCTTTTATAAAAAAGAGTCCACCTGGTAAAGATGATCAGTTATGGCTTGTAATGGAGTATTGTGGAGCTGGATCTGTTACTGACTTAGTGAAATCGACTAAAGGTCAATCTCTAAAAGAAGAATGGATTGCATATATATGTCGAGAAATATTACGTGGTCTTAGTTACTTACACTCTAATAAAGTCATTCATCGTGATATTAAAGGGCAAAATGTGTTATTAACTGATAATGCTGAAGTCAAACTAGTTGATTTTGGAGTAAGTGCTCAGTTAGATCGTACAATTGGACGTCGAAATACATTCATTGGTACTCCTTATTGGATGGCACCTGAAGTTATTGCATGTGAAGAAAATCCAGATGCTACTTATGATAATAGAAGTGATTTATGGAGTTTAGGTAATAGAAATATTTTTATGAATGTGTTAAAACTTTCATGGATTGTCTTGTGGCTTGAAGTGCTTGAGGATATATCCATGTTTACAGTTGAGTTCTGACGTTTCGGACTCATTGCAGAGTCCATCTTCAGAGTGAAATGTTAGAACTCAACTGTAAACATGAATATATCCTCAAGCACTTCAAGCAAGAAATATTTTTTAAATAATGTTTTGTAGTATGAGAAAATAATAAATTTAAAAACTCCTTAATAAATTACAGGAATCACAGCTTTAGAAATGGCTGAATCTCAGCCCCCTTTATGTGATCTTCACCCAATGAGAGCTCTATTTCTTATCCCCCGAAACTCTCCTCCTAGACTAAAATCTAAAAAGTGGGCAAAAAAGTTTCACAGTATGTTTTCTTGTTAATTTACATTCTTAATAATTGTTTTTTTTTTTAATTATTATTATATAGTAAAAAAAATTATATTTCAGGTTTTATTGAGACAGTTCTTGTTAAAGATTATCATCAAAGACCATATACAGATCAGCTTTTAAAGCATCCATATATTAGAGATCAACCAACTGAGCGGCAAGTTCGTATCCAGCTCAAAGATCATATTGATAGATGCAAAAAACGAAAGCAAGAAAAATGTTAGTTCTACATTATGTAGTTATACATATAGTTTATGTATAAAAAAAATGATGTGAAAAAGTTTTTTTTATTGATTTTTTTATATTTATATATGATTAAAAATATTGTTTCTAGCTGAAAGAGAAGATTATCGTTATAGTGGCTCTGAAAACGAAGAAGACGATGATCATAATATTGCAGGTGAACAACATTCATCCATTGTTCAAGCTCCTGGAGATAACACATTAAGGCGAAACTTCCAACAAATACAAGAAGGAAGAACTTTAACTCCTCATGGCAAAGAAAAACATGGTAAAGAAAGAGAAGAAATTCCAGAACCAGGTCCTCCTTCTCGCCCTCCAATAATACCTCATAGATTAATTGGTATTAAATTTAAATAGAAGTTTTTATATTAATGATAAATAATGGTAAATATAACTTAATAATGTAGTTGTTCCAGATCCTCATCCTCCATCAAGGCCTCTTCCTCCACCTCCTCGGGATGATAGACATTTCCATGTACAACAACAATCTCAAAGAAATTCAAATGTGTTCCAGCCAATGGTATATTATTTTATTATTACATTTATATTTAATGTCTTCTTATAAAAATACTTACACATTGAGGCATGACACACTCCTAATTGAGCTTGGTAGGCTGTTATCATATTTTGTTTTGATAAAATAAAAAACAAAACAAAAAAAGAAATGAAATGAATTTTATTAGGTATTTTAATTTTAATTTTTTATTTAAGGCACATCAAAATGGAGGTTCTAAAGTAATCCCTCAAGCAATAATAGAGTCTGATTCTTCAGATGATGATGATGATGATGACGATGATGATGGAGATGATGCTAATCGTCAAGATGCACGTCGTGCTCTACAAAGAAGGAAACCAAATGATGGGACGTTGTTAGCAAGCGATCCCCCTAAACCATTGTAAGAAATTAGTATATTAAAAATAATTTTTAAATAAATTTTATTTTGAAATTTTATTTACAGACCAGCTGATATAAATCCTAATGGTTTAATGCATTTAGAAGGTACATATTCAGTATATTATAATATTTACTAAATATATTAATTATTTAACTATGAATTAATTATTAAAATGGTTATAAAAAATTTTTACATCATAGGTAATTAACTGAATGATGCAATTTTCTAGTTTAATATAAAATATTTTCAAAAAATTTTAATTAATTGTGTTACCCTTCATGACATTATAAATAAATGTAAAAAGTAAAAATTCAATATTAAGACTATCCGATCTGACTAAAAAATAATATGTATGTATTCATATAAATTTCTAAAGGCTCTTTTAAAAGTATATATATGTATATAATAAAAGCCTTAATAGTTTTTAATTTATTCATTGAATGTTATTTAAAGTTTTAATACTAAAATTAAGTTGAAATTTTAAAATTTGAGTATATGATACTTTAAAATATATTAGTTTTATTACTTATTTTAGAATTAAATTGTCAAAAGTCTGTCTGAGAGTTTATTTTTATATCGTTGGTAGAATTTTAGTGGCTTAAAATAATCTTCCAACCACTATTATTAAAATAATTATTTCCTCAAAAAAAAATGTATTTAATGTTAAGCTAAAATTATTTTATCAATATTAATTCTACTTTTAGATAGATATCTGTATCCTTAAATCAGTAATTATTATTATATACTTGTATGAATATTAATGATTATCTAATTTTGGTGTTTTCTATTTAACAACATATAATTGATTACAATTGTAGGATCATCATCTAATACTGTTGGTGTTATGGGACCTGGGGGTGCTCCAAACCGCCCACTACCTCCTACACCTGATGAAGAGAGTGGAGATAGAACATTAGTCTTGAGAAGAGTAAGTTTTTGTTATATACAAAAAGTTTTTTGCACAACCCAATACACTTTTCACAACTGATGGTGAATGTTAGTGTAAAACCTATAGACAAACATTTTTATTGAAAAAAAGGCTTAGATAAATGAAATATTATTAATAGTTAAGCATGAAAAAAAAAATTTGTTTGCCAATTTTTTTTTTATTTGTGAATATTTTAATTGAAATCATAGAATTTTAAGTCAAAGTTAATTTTATAAACACTAATTAAATATAAAACTATTTTGCACGAGTTTTTATTAATTCCGTTTTAGTCAATATACAATTTAATACTAGGGTTAAAATAAATCTATGTATAGATAATTTATTTATTACTTATACATAAATTTCCCTAGTATATTTGCTTATTTTTAAACTAATTTTGCTTTTGTATAGTATCTTTTAAATAAAGTGTTATATAATTTTTTGAAGTAGAAACAAATATTATGGTGGTAGAAATTAAGAAACATTTTTTTTACTCTATGCCATTTAGTTACATTCTTGTAATACTGTATATTAAATCTATCTTTTACGGGTTTTAATAGTAGATCAGACAAATCATATTAGCTATTACTATACTAGCGCTTACTTAAATAATATCTTATAAAATGTTTATTATAGTAGTTGGATTCACATAGTTTTTATTTTTATTTGATAAATTTGTTTTTAAGTCTGTAAAAGCATTATTTTGTTGGGAATATGAGTTATTCAATTATAATAAGAAATTTTTAAAATACTATTTGTTTAATTCACTATTCACTGATTCCCAATAAATAAAAACAATAAATATTCATTATTTTGATAAATTTTAAGTGGTAGTTTGATGACCAAAATATTGTAAAATGTCTCTTTGAGTTCATTTATTGTTAAATGAAATATGTAACAAATGGGTGTATTCAATATTACAAATATTTTTGGATACATATTGATAATTATATATAAATTTCTTTTATGACAACTTTTTTTTTTGTCTTGTCTTATAACTGAATGGATATCAAATACTTTTCATGAATTTTTTTTACTTATTTTTTGTTTTATTTGATGTTTTTATTATAAATCAGTATATATATTCTGTGTGAATCTAACAATTGGTGTAAGGTTTTCATTTATAATTTTAAATTAATAGTCCGGGTTAATTATTTTGGATTACATTATTAATTTAAGAATTGAAAATTCAAACAATTTTATTGCCTTCTTTATAAGATTATATTTTTTTATTTTAATATAGATGTATAATTGATTTTTAGATTATTTTAGTACATTATGATTTTTAAAAATATTTAGCTATATATAGTTGGTATTTATTGCATCATGATTTGTGGTGATTAAACCACATGTTAAATTATTTTAAATTTAAATATTCCAAATATTTTAATATTAAATAATTATATACTATTATAGAGCCACCATATTAATAATAACAATAAAAAAAAAAGTAATTTAATAAATATAACACTAAATATGTGAGAAACTAGTTTTAGGAAAAATTGATGATAAGGAAATATCAAGTTATTGATATAAGATGATATAGGTTCAATAATTTCATGTTTTTTTGACTATAACTGTTTTTGTTAACTATAAATTTCACTTAAATTTTTTTGTCTATTATGTTTTTTTAATATTTATAAATTGCTACGCCAGCTTTCTCAACAGAAACCTATTACAAGCGATAACAAAATAGATGTTGATGAACAAAAATTATTAAAAGACTGGGATTTTGCAAGATTTTTTCAAAAGCCAAACAATACGACTGATAATGATATTCAACAATCACATAAACAAACATCAATACCTAGACGTGTTCTTCACAAACCTAATGGTTCAGAACTTTCACCTGCTACTAAATTTATACCCAATGTGTTCAGAAGAGAGAATACTGATTTCTTTGTTCCTTCTTCAAGGCATTCTGCTGTTTTTCTTGAAAATAAGCGATCAGAAATTCAACCAAGGCGAGGATCTGATGCTGGAAAAAAATCTGTTGAAAGATCTGATTCAATTAAAAAACAGTGGAAACCTACAAGACCTAGAAGAGAAAGAACTGACGGTGATATTGTGTTACAAGCTAGCCGACAAAGATCAACATCTTCTAGACCATTTGTTGACAATAAATGTTTAGAAGTTGATAATAGATTTTCTCGTGGAATTGTTGATAATGGCAAGAAAGAAATTGAACAAGATAATGGATTTACCAAAGATACCAATCAGGTTAGAGTTAGAGTAAAGGTTTACATATTACATGCCATGTGTTTTACTTAATACAATTTCTTGCTAATACATTTACTGGGTTTATCAAACTTAAGATATCAAACACTAATAGTTAATATGAACATACATTGTTCAATTGTGTTGTATATCATGATAATAAGAGATTTTTGCAATCTACTATTCATTTTATTTAATTAAATTTTACATAATTAAAAATAATTTAATTAATAATTGTTTTTTTTTTCGGATAATTTTCAATACCATAATATTCCATGTAGTATTATTTAGCAATGAATAATTAAAAGAATTATTTAAATGAATACTAAACAATAATTTGATAGAGCCTTACATTAAAATACTCCCCAAAAAATTGAAAAATATTTTTTAAATATGGTGTATGCTCTTAATGCTATTATGCTATTATTATTATAGCATATGCATGTTATGTGTGATGTGTATTGTTTGTTTTGCATGTTATTTTATGTATTTGCACATTGTATTAGGTTTTTATAGATTAAACAAATTATATAAAAGAGAAAAAAATCATTACTGAGTAAAATGTAAGTGTTTTATCTAATATTATTTGAAAATTAAATCAGTCGAGTAAATAATAAATGGATGATGTATGTATACAACTTTATATAAAAATACTGTATATTAAAAACTAACATCTTCGCATGTTTTTTACATTTTACTTTAATAATATAGAAGTAATCAGATCAAAATAATTGTGATAATTACTTCATTACAAAACTAATACTGCTGGTGTAACATACTAATTACAAATTTCAAGATTAATATTGTAAAATAATTTAATTATAAAGTTTCTTGCTAAAACAATAACAATTTTGATTTGTAGAATCGTGATGATCGTCGTAATGATTTTCATAGGCATGACTTATCAGGAGGTTCTAGTTCTAGAACTAGTTCAGTGTTACCAGATCTATTGTCTCAGGTATAGTAACTGAAATATTATTAATAATATATTATTAATTATATAAATTTTATTTTTATTTTAAAGGCATCTTCAAGTCCTGGAACTCCAAATCAAAGATTAGATAAAAGCAATAGCGAAGAGGTTTGTACAAAGCTAATATAAATATAATATATAATCAGGAATAAATCTAAGGGAGAGGGTATAGGTCTTTCTAAAAAATAAAAAAATTACATGGTAAAAAGTCAATTTTTTTGGAAAGAGTAAAAAAATTGTTTATGTATTTCCTCCCTCCTAAAAAATATCATAATTAGTACTTACCTCAATTACAACACTAATAATTTAATTTAATTAAAAATAATTTTAATGCTTTTTAAGTAGATAGTGTACAAAAAAAACACACAAATCTATTTTGAAATTTTTTTTATTGCATATGCAGGATACAGGAAAAAAATGCATCTCATAAAAGAATAATAATTTTTTTTTATATTTATCCTTCTAAAATAAATGTTTAAAATAAAAAATTCTATATGACTTATGTCAATAAATAAAGGAATATTTGCACTCTTAAAAGTGTGTCTTATACATTTTATTTGAACATCATCCAAATTGACTATAACTAAGTGTAATAGTACGTATCTCAAAATTTATTGAAAATCATTTTGATATTAAAATGTTTATAATCTCAATGTATATTTGTTTACTATATATATTATTGATTTATTATTATTTGCCATGATATTGTCATTTTACAATTTAATAAAAATAAAAAATATTTAACTACTTAATAGTGAAAAATAATTAATGATAATTTTATCAAAAAATATGATTAATTTGTATGTTTTTTAAATAATAAAATATTTAATCATCCTTGAGTATTATGAAAATTGAGGTAAGTGCTTTTGTTGTTTGGCCAACATAATGTTAGTAAAGTATATTTGCTAAATTGTTTTATAATTTACCATCAGTCTTATAAATAATATATTAAATTTCATTTGTATGTTTGAATTTTCTTACTAATTTAAAATTTAATTTGTTTTATGTTTTCTAACATCATTAACACCTTTGGTTTGATCAATCTTTATTGAAGTAAGTGTACTTTAATTATCTTAACTGCATTATAGTTTTTAATTAAATGTTAAATAGTTAATTTAATAATTTATGTATATTATAGATTCAAAACTCCCCAATCACAAATTATTCACTACCACAGAAACAAAGATCATTTCTTACATTTGGTTTTGGAGCTGGTGGTACTGGTACTAGTACAAGCTCTCAAGGTCCAGGACGTCGAGAATCTCATGTTAATGTAAATGTTACCCCAACTGTTCATGATTTAACATCTGAAACACCAGAGATACGCAAATACAAAAAACGATTCAATTCAGAGATTTTGTGTGCAGCTTTGTGGGGTAACTATATTCTTTTTTAACTTGTTAAATAGTTAATATAATTATCAATTTAAATGTATTATTTAATTTCAGGTGTAAATCTTTTAATTGGCACAGAAACAGGTTTAATGTTATTAGATAGAAGTGGCCAAGGTAAAGTTTATCAATTAATTTCTAGAAGACGCTTCCAACAAATGGAAGTATTAGAAGGTCAAAATATATTAGTAACTGTATCTGGTAAAAAGAACCGAGTTAGAGTATACTATTTGTCATGGTTAAAATCTAAAATACTGAGAACTGATGGGGTATGTTACGATTAATTTTTGGGTTATTTAACTTTTATTAAGTGTTAAATGTTTGTATTTGTAGCAAGTAGAACGGAGAAATGGTTGGATTAATGTCGGCGATTTACAAGGCGCAGTCCATTTTTGTATAGTCAAGTATGAACGTATTAAGTTTCTGGTCATAGCACTTAAAGATAGTATTGAAATTTATGCTTGGGCTCCTAAACCCTATCATAAATTCATGGCATTTAAAGTAATATATTTTTTAATTTTAATAGTTATTTATATCAAAAATTGCTTACATGATTGTTTATACTTAACAGTCTTTTGGTGATTTAGTACATCGTCCTCTATTAGTTGACTTAACTATAGAAGAGGGTGCACGATTGAAAGTAATCTATGGTTCAGCTGATGGATTTCATGCTGTAGATCTAGACTCTGCATCAGTTTATGATATTTATCTACCTAAACATGTAAGTAAAAATAATTTTGTACTCCAGTAAAATTTCATGTATCAAAATTAAACAAAATTGTTTTTTATTAGACACAAGGATCAATTGCGCCTCATTGTATTGTTGTTTTACCAAACTCTAATGGATTACAGTTATTGTTATGTTATGACAATGAAGGTGTATATGTTAATACATATGGAAAAGTCAGTGTATTATTAAACATTTTGCAAAATATTTTATTTTATTTATAATAAATAAATAATTTATAGGTATCAAAAAATATTATATTACAATGGGGAGAAATGCCCACCTCAGTTGCCTATATAGGCACTGGCCAAATAATGGGATGGGGCAATAAAGCAATTGAAATTCGAAGTGTAGAAACTGGTCATTTAGACGGTGTCTTCATGCATAAAAAAGCCCAGAGACTGAAGTTCCTTTGTGAACGAAATGATAAGGTATTATTAAAGTATTCTATATTTTATTTGAAAATAAATACAATCTAATCGATTAGAATATCTAATAATTGTGAATACTATCACCGAATTTTTAAATATTGAGTAATTTTATTGCAACATGTTGTAGTTACTAATATTTATAACAAATAAAGTATAAGTATCTAGATTTTTTTCTACTCCAAAAATATAACCTATGGCAAAAATATTATTTACTAGAAATTTCTAATTTTCAAAATTTATTCAGAAATTTTTATATGAGTTATTAAAATTTTCTACATTAATTTAATAGAACATTTTTCACAGTATATATATAAATTTCAAAAATTCTCAAAATAATTTTTATTGTGTAAGAAATTCTCTGTTATTTTAATAAAAAAAAAATGCTCAGTAGAGTTATATAGTAGAAAGTGTGGCTTCTCATAAATTACTTTGACATTTTATAAAAAAAAATTTCAGGTATTCTTTTCATCTGCCAAAGGTGGTTCATGTTGCCAAATTTACTTTATGACGCTCAACAAACCTGGTATGGCTAATTGGTAGTTTTGTTACTAACAAATCCATCTAAAATTTTACATCAAGATATGGTAATACAATAGAAAATTAAAATTAAATTCATTGTTATAGAATATAATTAGGTAACAGCTTATCTTAACAATATTTTGATGTATTTTCATATAATTATTGCTTCAAAAATAAATAAAAGACTTGACTACCAAGTATGGTAAATAATAACACTTTATACATTATATTATATAAGAATTACTTATCTTAGACACTCATGTATTTTTATTAATTTTATTTTCATTATTTATGTTGTGCAAAGAAATACATGTTTTTTAATATTATTTACCAAAAATTAGAGGCCATTTTAAAAATTAAATGTTTATTTTTTATGCTTTGTCATGAAAATTTATATTGATCATAGATCAGAAACTAATTAGTACGTAAAATATAAAAACTATATTATTAGTGTCTTAAAAAAATATAAGAATGTGGATTTTTTTTGTTTGTATAAGTCACTTAAATAATAGTTTTATAAAATATTATAAAACCATTCTATATATTATTTATTTATTATAATTTTGTTATTAGTAAAAATTCCAAAAAGGAAAAATTAAATATAAAAACATTGTTAGCTCATGTTTTGAACTATACATTCATTTTTGTTATATTTAGAAATTTATAAAAGTCATGAATTATCAATGGAACAAAAAAAACTACTTGTAACATTATTATTAACTATTATACGTACAATTTTTTACTGAAAATAATATTAGTAATTTTTCTATAAAACGTACTTTAGAGTAAATTTTTTAGTTTTTATAATTTTTTGTGTAAAAAAAAATACATATTTAAAATATAATTGTTGTGGTCATCTGTTCAGCAGTTATTACTGAAATACAAACAAAGACATTTCATGTCTTGTATTATATCACTTTTTCCATTTCCTCTATGTGTTAATAATTTTTTATATTGTATCATTTATAAAAAATGTTTAGTTAAAACTTAAAGATATTTTATTTAATGTAATTACATACTTTTGTGTCACCCGATTGAGTAAAATAAAACAATTTAGGTATTTTAAATTATTGTATAAATATATATGGTGGTGTTTTTGTTTAATATTATTTAGATTTTGGAGATAAACAGTTTTTCTCTATGTTCTTAGAACTGCACTTAGGAATGTGATACATGTGAACTCAATTTTATCGCTTTCAATGACCTTTTTATTTTGCTTATCAAAAATTATTTATGGTCTTGTAGATAAGAAAATCAAATTTAACTTTAAATGGTTAATCATACATGAACTTGTCATTTTTTATTTATTATTATTTGTATCTCACCAAAGACGCTTTAACCTTTTCAAATTGTAAGCTAATTTTTTTTCCTGATCACTCTTTACATAAATTTAACACTAGCAAATTATTGGGAGAGAGGGGGTTATGGGTGTCATATTATATAATTACAAAAATAATTATGTGATGAACATACATTTTTTTTTTGTGTTGAGAGGGAAGTTAAAAATTTTCTTATGAATATCCTCTTGAGACGAAACCCTAGTTACGCCACTGAAATCTAAATGTTTTATCCCTCTTTATGAAAAATGATCGCCACCAAAGAATATTTTGAATAATAAATTTTAAATAGAACTAATTTATGGCTGAAACATGTGTAATATAATATGTTTAAACAGTTTGCATTTATTAAATATTTCTCTAAATTATATATTTAAATTTTTTGGTTGATAAATATCATGTATTTTTAAGAATATGAATTTAATGTATAAATAGAAGTGTTGATTTTTTTTAAACGAAAAGATAAAATAAAAGACCTGTATTGTTGTCACAAACAGAGTAGCCTACTGTTATCTCTATGATGATGGTGACGAGCATAGTAAAATTAAATCGAATTAAATCTTGGTTTATAAACTACTACAGTGTAGCAGATAATACAATAAAGATATATTACAACACAGTTGAAGTTAATAATAATAATAAAAAAATTATAAATGAAATTGAAAACCGAAATTAACTAAAAAAAGTTCATTAAAATACTTGACTATAACGGGACAGTGCCCCTTAATATAGAATATATACAACGCAATGTATTTACATGTGACGTCACGTTGAGTTTATTGTTGGTTACATATTTTACCCCTAGGCTTATCATGCGCACTAATTTGATCGAGCATACTTCTTATTCATTTTACTATGGTTACAAGTATGTTAGGACAAAAAGATTAAAAATTGATAGTATAAATATATTTATTTTTATAATTTATTTTTTATATAAAGCTAATCTATACAAATCTTCTAATTTTGTACCTTTAACTATACAATTTTTTATTTAATACTTATTTAACTTCAATAAGTTGATCAACTTCTATAAAAGCAGATTGTGAATCACAGCATTTTAAGTAAATACCAAAAACACTTTTTCCATTTAGTTTATTTTGAGCCAGTATTCTCAAAGTCTTAGGATTTTCTTCTGCACTTGATTGTTCTATGTTCACCATTTTACATCGCACGCACAGCTCGTCTTTCTAAAATTTTATTAAATCATAAATGTACTGTTAAATTATATCTAAATCATAAAAAAATAATAAAAAATTATTTTCTTCTAGTACCTAAATACAAATGTTTTTTATATATTACTGTTACAATTGTAATAATTTTTTATAAAAGCTTTACAGGAGTTAGGCTTCAGGCCCATTGCTGTGAGACCAATTGTTTCCACTTATCTCTATCGTATGCTAATATCTCTCTATTGTTCACTAACAAACTCTATATAACTTTGTTGATCTTGTCCTTTCATTGCTGTTAGGCCTTTCTCTTGATTTTATTGTGTTCGGTTTCCATCTTGTGGCCAACTTTATAGAACTTTCCAATCTCCATACATCACTATCACATCCCAGCCTACTGCTTTTAAGGGCACCAATTACGTTTGTTTCGCCATATATTACTTCTATTTCACGGTTTTTTCCTAACTCGAATTTCCTTTAACCGTTTTTTTGTAACCAAATATCCTACTAAGGAACTTTTGTTAAAAAGTAGCTAGTTTATTTTCATTTGTTTTTGTAGTCACCAAGCTCCATTAGTATACAGTACAGCTGGTCTCACTAGCACTTTTCATAATTTAATTTTTGTCTTCCAAGATAACATCTTTGAATTAAATTGAGAAACCAATCCAAGATTGCCGCTACTAACATAAGTTTTATTTTTTTACGGCTACTTGTGTCCTTGTTTATTCCTAGGTATTTGAATGATCCCTACTCTTTTAAATTTAAAGTCAGTAATCAATTAAAAGAAAAAGTTATTACTTATCAATCAATAAAGATAAGTATATTGTCTTATTAAATTTATGTTTGCATATCGGCTGATATATCAAAGGGTTATTTTGTCTTTTAAAGAGAGCTATTTAAAGTCATGTTTTTATTATTATTATTGATATGTATTACTTAATACTTTTGCTGTCTAGAAACTTTCTAGAAATATTTAGAAACTTTGTACGGGGGTTTCAGATACCTTTTAAAACAGAGTAGTGACGAGATTTACCCCTCCACTATTTGTGCTACTATGATTTTATGTCCTAGGGGGTGGACTCCATAGACCCTTCCGTAAATACGTCTCTTGTCTAGAATTTATGTATAACTTGTGTTATAAATAGCTGTCATATTTGTATTTTTCTCAAATGCTTATGTTACCCAACCAAACCAAACGCTGATAGTCTCTCAGAAAAAAAAAATGTTTGCGACTCCTAAGCTTTGTCTCAAATTATGCCCCTGACATTGATCCCTGTACATATGTGCACAGATTAGTCCTATAAGCTTTTTAGAATTTTAGAAGATTCGGAGTATCAAAAAAGTCTATATTAACTGGAGATAATAGAAATTAAGTTGGTCCGGTTTAAATGATTCGTTATTTGAATTTATAATTAAAAATTATTTTGCAAACTATTACTATGATAAACTTTTATTATGATAACCGTAGTTTAACTTACTAGGAACTTGATATTTCCAATAACTACTTCGGTCCAATTAACCTCTGAGTTAGCTGGAATTTCACCAGACACTAAAATATTGCTTCTGAATCTGAGTAAAACGCTGTCAAAGTCAACGTCAGTAATATCATCTTCTAATTTGTGCATTAACCATTTAATAGTCGACTCGGTTGTTAATAAATATTGACTTTGATTAGCCCCAAAAACTTTTTTATCCAATAACCCTTCAATAGTTTACTACATTATAATCCATATATACTTAATAATTACAATACATTGATAACTTAGTGATAGTACCTCGAAACTACAAATTTGTAAAAATGTATTTTCTTGCATAATTGCAGTAATTTTTTTGTAGTTGATTATGTCAATAAGCGACTTTGTAAAAATAACGCAATTTTCTGAATTAAGGTAATATGATATAATATATTTGATTTTTAATTTATTGAATATTATTACATTTGTCAAAAAATAAGTTTTATTAATAAAATTATAATTTTAGTTTTATTTATATACTTTAATTAATATTTTAGAGGTAACACATGAAAAATATTCTGAATTAAAACTGCTATAAATTAATAAATTGTTAATAATATATAATTAACTTTTTGTCTTCTAAAAATATACATACGAGGTATTAGCATTAAGGTATAGATATATTATACATGCACCATATATATAAATATATATATAGATTTTTTCTAAATCAATAATTAACAAATATGTAACATTTACCGTATTCATTAGCTCTTGGTGGATTACGTCCAGTGCATTTGACTAGTCTTAGTCCAGGTAAGTCCAAATTAAAGCTGAGCCATTCTGCGACTTGATCACCACAATCAACTCCCTCCAAAGAGCCACCCCAAGATAAATTACCCTTTCTCATGGAATCGCTCCTTTTCGATCTTAAGTCTATTGTCATAGGTACTTTGTCTTTATTCCCTTCAATTTAAAAAATGTATAATAATAGAAGTAATATATATTTTAATAATTATAATTATTAATATTATTAATACATAAATTTCTCAGTAAATCATACCTGCATAGGTCAATGTCATTATTTCTTTAAATAAATCGATTTCAGGTTTTACCAAACATAATTTAGGTTCTTGTAATTGAGTTATGCACCTACCGTCTTCGTTAACCACAGCCCACATTCGATCATAGCGAAAACCATATACTTCTAAAGGCCACTGTTGTACTTCAATAGCACCACAGGATTTGATAGGGTAGATAAAAATCCTTGATACTTTTAAACTCATTATCTTTGTTGGTGTATTTTTAAGTTGTATTTGTATACAAAAAATAAATTAAATTAAATATCACTTTTACATGTATTTAGTAATTTATACAAATAAAAAAATTATTAGAAGTTTAATATATTTATGTTTTGGAGCCATATGCAACCATAATAAAAAAAACCTAGCACAGTGGGGTTGCGGCATAGTTTGGTTCAGTATAGATTTAATCTGACAGTGATTTAAATCACTATCGTAAGAAACGCTTTGATGAAAATATGTAGATAGTGTTTAAATTTAAGAAATTAGTGGATAATTACAAAAGCAACATCAACTTCTATTTCCTTAATTATATCCAGATTCGTAATTCTTATAATTATATATTATATAATTTTTAAAATTAATTGTTTTCAAATTATTATTGATTTTGATTATTAATATGTTAAAAGTTATCATTTTTAACCTACTATTTTTTGTGAAAATTTATAATAAAAACTAAAATGAATTTATTACCATAACTTTTAGCTCAACTTGCAAGTTTGAAATTGACATCATTAAATAGAAAAAAATGGCATTGTTAAGATTAATATGCAGTCAGGAAATTTTATAATTACTATTTACAGTAAATTTATCAAAAAAGCTCGATTCTTTTTTGCATTTTTATCGTAACAGATCATTTAAATAAAAATCATAGTAATAATTTCTAATTAACTTTTGTTGTTTAAAAAGATTCTAAAATTGAAATATGAAGAACTGAATTGATTTTAATAATTTACTTTAACTAAAAAAACCAATCAAAAAAAATTATTAATAAGATCTACTCAATTGAGTGTATTATAAAATTTGATTATAATTGTAAAAATCCATTGTTAAATTGAGGTGAAACTAAAAATCATTTTTTTTAGATTTATGATTTATACAGAATGGCCCACCACTCACTGACAACTTAAATAACTTTTGATCCAGTTAATATTTTTAGCTGATTTTTTTTTTAAATAATAGTTATACGTTAGGTCTATAGCTATATCTCAATAATTAATTTTTTTACATTTTATTAAAAATATTAATTATTTTTAAATTTTAAATAAAATGTAAAAAAAAAATCTAAGATAGCTATTTTGTAGAGTAGAATTTAAGAAAAATTTTAGTAAAAAAATATCTTATTAATATTCAGTAGTAAATATTCTGTAGCGTTTTGAAGTTTGTGAAAATTTGAATTTTCATGTATTATTTTACGGTATTAAACATTGAAATACGTATTGAGAAAAGGACAGAAGAAAACGCTCTTTTCAATATACTTTTGAATGAGAGTGATAAGTAATAATTGCCTTATCTAATTTCTTATCTTGGTATTAATGCCAAGTTTGTAATGTATACACATTATCATTATATGTATACACAATAATCATGAAAAGATATTTTTAATAAAATGTAAAAAAATAAATTATTGAGATATAGCTATAGACTTAACGTATAACTATTATTTAAAAAAAAAAATCAGCTAAAAATATTAACTGGATCAAAAGTTATTTAAGTTGTCAGTGAGTGGTGGGCCACTCTGTATAACAACATGTTTCAAAAAAATTTGGAATATTATAGTCTAGTAGTAGCACACAGAAATAGTGTAAAAAAATTATTAAATTACAAAATAAAATTATTTACTTTTATAGTTGAATACTTTTATCATATCAAATCTAATTCGACAATAAATACTTTAAAAATATTAGAAATTAATGATTTTAATAGTTTGTATAGATAAGGCTGGTTAGATTCGGTGGATTCGAACCTGGTACCCTAGCTGTGAAAGACATAAGTGTTACTGATTTGGTAACTGTTCGTCGCTTTTGTTGATTAATAAAATTGGTAATCTAAGCTGATTCAAATTTTAAAGTTACTTTTTTGACTTTAAAAAATCAAAAAATTTAAATAAGCTTTAATTTAGAATTAAATAAAAGTGTCAATATTTCCGGAACATTTTCAAAAATTATATTAAAAAAAGCTTAACTTGTGTGCAAAAATTACTTTTTTGAATCCCCCCCCAGTGGGCAGATATAGAGTCTGATTTTCAAAAATGTATAACAAATGAAAGAAAAATATCTAAGGTTTTAATATATAAAGAAAAATGCATTTTAATTTGTTCATTTTTCAAAAAGTTATTGTAGTTTAAGTATTAAAATATTTCATGTTAAACAGTGATTTTTACATAAAAATGACATTTTTCGTTAAATTCAATGGCCATTTTCTCATAGAAAAAAAGGTGTCGGGACAAATTTTTGAACTTATAGTATTTATTGTAAGCTTTAATTTGACATATATTTAAAGCTCGGAGTATTTCCGAAATATTTTCAAAAATTAAGTTTACAAGTTTTTGTAAAAAATTTGCTATTTTATATCCCTCCTTGTGAGCACGTTAAGTGTTAGATTTTCAAAAAAATGATGTAAAATAAAAGGGATATATCTAAGATTTCAATATAAAAAAAACTTATATTAATTTGTTCATTTTTAAAAAAGTTATAGTAGTTTTAAGAAAAAAAAGTGAAGACAATATCAAAAATTACTGATTTTTAAAATTGTAATTTTTTTGGAAATTTCCCCCATTTACGGGGAACGAGGGAAATTTTTTCAATTTTTAAGGGTAACGTCTTCAACTAGATACGATTTGTGATCTTTTGACATATTGTTCATCAAAATCGGTCCAGTGAGAGCTGAGAAAAAGTGGCAACAGTCACAAAAAAAAAAAAAATACACATCATGGTAAAATTAATATTTTCTCAGCTTCGTATCGAAGTTAAAAAACATTTGATTGAAAATTTTAATAATTTGTTTACTTACCAATTATTTATCGTGCTGATAACTTTATTTTATAAATATTAAAACAGACGAAAATAAATAATAATTTTTTTTTCTATGTATTAGATACAATTTTAGTTCAAGTAAAAATAAAATATGTCTCAGAATTTCATAAAATAGCTTAATATTTGGAGTTGTTATTTTTGTGTTATTAGTAAACGAGTTTGTTATGGTAAGAATTATCTATTGCAATTTTAAAGATTAAGTATAAGTGGGAACAGATAAAACAAGGTACAATTATATTCAAGTAGAAATAGGTATGTGTTTGTATTATACAGAATGTTCAGTTAGTTTAAAATACAATATACCAGCTAGGTGATTCTATTAACACTAGTCATTCAATTTCTCTTAAAATAATAAACACGTCAAGAATATTTCTTTGTATTCATATATTTTTTGTTATATCAGTTATTAATTACTTTTTTAAATTCACCCCTTTTACCTTATAAAAAATGTTATTTTATTTTAGCTTCGAGGCGAAGTTGAAAAGGTACTTATTTTTAATCATGATGTGTTTATTTATATTTTTTTTGTCTGTCACGACTTTTTCTCAGTTCTCACCACATTGATTTTACTTAAAACGTTAGTATTGAATATCGTCAATATTATTATCACAAAACGTATCTAATTGAAGACATTACCCGAATAAATTAAAAAATTTTAAAATCGATAAATTTTGACATTTTTTAAACTTTTTAAATGTCCATAGAAGAGAGAACATTTTAAAATTCATTCTAAGATTTCTTATTAAATATAGTTAGATCACATTCAAAAATGTTTGATTACTACTAATATTCAACGATATTTTTACAAGGTCACTTATGAGTGGTCCTAATAATTATTTACATTGAGTGATTTTATTTTTTTTAATGGGATTATACATATTTAAGTATCTTACAAAATAAAAAATGATCTAATTAAGAAAATTTACTGGACGATGACAACTTTTGGATCAGTACTTTGAAAATTTTTAAATTTTTTATATTTAGGCAGTAGGAGAGGTTTCACCAGTGAAATGTCCAAAAATAAATATTACCATACTCGCGCCTTACCGTTAGCATTAAATTTTAAAACAGCAATTATAAAATTAAAAACGGTAGCACAGTGGGGTCGCGGCATAGTGGAGACATTGCATAGTAGGGTCCAGTATAGATTTAATCTGACAGTGATTAAAATCACTATCATAAGAAACGCTTCGATGCAAATCTGTAGATAGTGTTTAATTTTAAAAAATTGATGGATAATTGCAAAAGCAACATCAACTTCTATTAAAATAAAATACAAAACCCATAATTATCATACAAAAATAGTATATTTTTCAATATGGTAGCCATTTGCGTATAGAAGATAGATCGTCGGGACAAATTTTTTTTTTTCATTTTGTAGTACATAAAATAAGCTTTAATTTTATATATGTTTAAAGGACGCAGTATTTCCGGAACATTTTCAAAAATTAAGTTGAAAAAGTTATTTTTTGTAAAAAAGTTACTATTTTAAATCCTCCCAGTGAGCAGAATAAGTGTTAGATTTTCAAAAAAAATTATATCAAATGAAAGGGAAATATCTAAGGTTTCAATACAAAAAAATATTATTTTTATTTGTTCATTTTTGAAAAAGTTATGGCAGTTTTAAGTACAAAAAACATCCCGATAAAATGTAATTTTTATCGCAAACATTACATTTTTTTTTAAATTTTCGACAGCCATTTGCACATAGAAGATAAGATGTCGGGACAAATTTTTTTTTTTCATTTGATAGTATATAACATAACCTTTGATTTGATATATGTTTAAAGGACGCAGTATTTCCGGAACATTTTCAAAAGTTCAGTTGAAAAAGATCTATGTTTTTTACAATATTTTAAGTTTTGAACGCCCCCTATATAAGGGGAAATTGTCCAATTTTAATAAAAAGTATGTCAAATGAAAGATGTACTTATAATGTATTTAGAAAAAAAAAATTTGTGCTGATATATACATTTTTCAAAAAGTTATAGCATTTTTAAGTTGAAAATTTAAAATCGAAAATCGAAAATTTTAACACAAAAATAGTGTTTTTTTAACTACGGCAGCCGTTTAAATGTAGAAAAAAAAGTGTCGGGACAAATTTTTTTTTTTCATTTTGTAGTACATAAAATAAGCTTTAATTTGATATATGTTTAAAGGACGCAGTCTTTCCGGAACATTTTCAAAAATTAAGTTGAAAAAATTAATTTTTGTAAAAAAGTTGCCATTTTAAATCCCCCCCAATGAGCAGGTTAAGTGATAGATTTTCAAAAAAATGATATCAAATGAAAGGTAAATATCTAAGGTTTTAGTATAAAAAAAAATTATGTTGATTTGTTGATTTTTCAAAAAGTTATGGAAGTTTTAAGAAAAAAAAGTGAAAAAATTTCGAAAATTAGCGATTTTTAAATTTGTAATTTTTTTGGATATTTCCCCCATTTGCGGGGAACGAGGGAATTTTTTTCAATTTTTAAGGGTAATGTCTTCAACTAGATACGATTTGTGATCTTTTGACGTATTTTTGAAAGAAATCGGTCCAGTGAGAGCTGAGAAAAAGTGGCAACAGACATAAAAAAAAAAAAAAAAACATCATAGTAAAATTAATACCTTCTCCGCTTCGCATCGAAGCTAAAATATATAAATTATTGTAAAATTGTAGAAATTAGTATCGAAGCGTTTTTGATGTTAGACTCTTATTAATAGTTAATACTATTTTTTTGTTTTATAGCAAGATAGTAGTAAGAACAGTATGTAGCTAAGGCCAATAATAGACCAAAATTATAAATGTTGAGAAATATTAAGTCAAACATAATTTTGTACTACAAATTCTTAATTTGTTCTTTATTTTGTAATTATATTTGTCATTCTGAGAAATAGGTACTCTTATAATTTTTTTCATGTGTATGCCATCACTTTAAACATTTTCATTTAAAAAGGTTGGCGAAAAATTAAAATACTTCGTCATATATGCAATATTGATTTGTCCTAAAAAATTCAAGTTTAGGTAAAGTAAAAAAGAATAAATTTTGATGTATGAAAAATTTCATTTGTTTATTTATTTGTAATAATTGATTTTAATAATACAATTAAAGTTAAATAGTATTTTTCGTTTATTGAAAATCAACATGTTGTCCAATAAACATGTCATGTATTGAAATTAAGTTTTCATATTTTAGATAAATCCCAAAAATTATTTTGCCTTTCCATTTGTGTTGATCCAATACACTTAAAATGTTTGGATTTTGGTTAGCTTTCGTCTGGTCAATACATATAATTTTACATCGGACACACGGGGAATGTACCTATAAGTATAAAAATATAAATGAATAATAAAATAATTAAAAAACCCTTATTCTTGCAAAACAATTTTTTTTTATAATACATGATACTTATTCTTATTTAAAAGTTATCTTCATTGAAAACTAACTAGTAATTTTATTTTTCCTATACTAATTTTAGTCCAGTTAACCTCCGAGTTCGCTGGAATATCACCAGATACCAAAATATTGCTTCTAAATCTAAACAAAACGCTATCGAAGTCAACGTCCGTAATATCATCTTTTAGTTTTCTCATTATCCAATTAACAGTTGACTCAGTTGTTAATGAATATGAACATTGATTGGCAGCCAAAATGTTCATATTACTTTTGTCTTTAAATGACATAAAATACAAAAATAAAGCATACAAGTGTTTTAACAGTTGGGAACTTAAATTAAAATTTCTATTTTTATAAATATTACCATGATTATTTGATTTTATAGAGGTACGGTCTATACATTTGATTAATCGTAGATTAGGTCTATCCAGGTTAGTACTTAACCAAAACGCTACTTCGTCACCGCAATCAAAACCTTTTACTTGACTACCAATACAAATTTTACCAGTTTTTATTTTATAATGACTATAATTTTCTAAGCTTATTGTTACTGAATTATTGTTCAAATTTCCTATATAAAAGTCAATTAATTATAAATTAATTAATGATAAATAAAATTTAATTCAAGTTATAAATATCTAGTATTTTATATAACAATTGTAAATTGTAACTGTTACTGAAAAGTGTCACATTGTATCATTAAATTAGTTCCTTAAATGAACTAACAGTAATAGAAGAGTAATGAGATTTGAAGTTGGGGAGGTTTATAAGAAAGGTAGTATATGTGTATTTATAATAATAAAATAATGTTTATATCATAGTTTTCTCTGATTTCCTTAGTTTTTAGTTTTAGTTATTATCGAGGTGGACATAATGCCCATGCGCTCAGACAAAATGAAATGAGTCTTCCTCTTCTATTCCACACTTCCTGCACAGTGGTGATTCCGATACCCCCATTACGTTAAGATGTTTAAGCAGGTGACCATGTCTTGTCAGTAGACCAGTCAGGGTGCTTATTTGATGTCTAGTCATGCTATTAAGATCACCCAGCAATAGACCGGGGGTCTTGATAAACATTTTAAATTGTCTAGGTACTACCAAGTACTTCCAGATTTTCCTGTGTTGTTCTCTGCACCAATTCTTGGGTAGCGCTTTGAGCGATTGCTCAGTGAGATTTCCTTAGATACTACTTATATAAATATATTTTAATTTTAATGGATTGATGATAATTTTATAATGATAGATAGAACATTTTTCAAACTGAGCAGGGTCAATAAAGGATTGAAGAGACTAAGACTTTAAACTTTTTCGGATTAATTCTGAAATATTGTAGATAAATTATAACAAAAAAAATTTGAGCGAAGAAAAAATTTAATTTTAGTCCTCTACAAAAAGTTTCACGCTCTCTATGGAATCTACTACTCGTTAATTTTATTTATAAATATATATTGCATTTAAACATTAATTATTTTTATTTTATGATTATCACATTAATTGAGTTGGTCAATTGCAAAGGGACGTACGTCCATAAAGATATTTTTTAGTTTCGCTTTTTTCTACCTAGTTATAAACTAATTCGTCAAGAAAAAGAAAAAAAATATCTTTTTGGAGATATATCCTTTTACAACTGGACGACTTAATTATGGCATGATAATTATAACTATTACATCTTGCTAAAATTTAAATTACCAGCAAAGTTGAGTACCATTATGCTTTTGCACAAATTAATTTGAGGTCGTATCAAACATAGTTTAGGTTCTTGTATTTGTGTTATACAAACTCCTTTTTCATTTATTATTGCCCATGTTCTGTCATATTTCAACCCGTACGTATCTACAGGCCATCGATTAACTTCAATGAATCCACAAGATTTAATTGGATATACAAAAATCCTAGATACTTTTAAACATGTCTGTCCACTGTAAAAATAAATTGGATAATAATAATAAAGTTAAAAATAAATAATTTTTTTTTTTGTAGGGAAGGTGCTGAAGAACAAATTTTCTTTAAATGACATTTTTAATGGAACCCATAATAAATGCGTTACTAAAGATAACTTTCTTTATCCAAGTAAAATTATAAAAATGTATTTTCATTTTATTTTATATATATATATATTTTATATATGCAAGGTGTAAATATATCGAATCGTAGCAATATATAAGCAGGCATCTAGAAATGATGTAAAATGAGGCATTATTTTTATATTTTTTTACCTTCAAAAAATGGGTAACTCCAAATATCTCTATAGCGAGTTACTAAATTACACACAAGCATTTCCTGCTTAATTTTTCATAAAAATTGAGCGGTCTCTCAGTTATATTGTTATTAACTTTGATAGGATTTTCCAAGTAAAATGCATGAAAAATTATCAAATTAATTGATTTTGTAGTTTTTTCGTAATTACCAAATAAAAAAAAAATTTGAATATAAATAGACTATACAATAGAATTTTTAAAAAAATTCGTTACATAATGATGTGTAAAAAAAAAGTAATATTCTTATATTTAGGGTGAAAGTCGAAGGAAAATGTCAATTTTGCAGGAAAAAAATGAAATGAGGTATATTTATATGAGACTTGTAGGAAATACTAAGGTCTGATTTTTTGATTTTTGTAGCTTTCTTGGGGGTTAAAATCCTTCTTTTTGAAGATGAAAAAATATGGGACTCTATTTTACACAATCATGTATAACTAAGGTTCAATAAATTTACATTCTGTATGTATTGTAATGTAATATAAATATATGAATATATAAAGATGTTGTAAACATAAGTGAACTGAAAATGTTAACGAGATACTTTCAATCATTGATCAATCCCTTAATTATGTTATCTGGAGTAATTTCTTGGAAAAATGCCAGATATTATTTTCTAAAGAAAAAATAAAAGCTCTTTTTCGTGGAACCTAAAATTAGTCTATTTATGTAGGTTGTAATAAAATTTTATTAAAATTATTATTTTGTGTATTACATTATTAATTTCATTTCTAAATTAGGCGATTTAATGACATTATTTTGCCGAAAAGATGAAATCAGTACGGAATACAATTTATCAGCATCCTGTTTACTAGACTGATATCCGAATGAAACTCGAACAGAACCAGTAGGAATACCATCGATAAGATCAAAATTATCGCCACAAATGTGGCCTCTGTAAAAAATATGAAAACAATAAATAATAGATAGTAATTGATATTGTTAACGACTATTTACTTTATTTTATGATTCTTTTTTATTTGCTGGTTTGTTAGTTTCAAGTGCATTTGGCAAGCACCTGGATTGCAGAAACACCCTACACGCAATACTATTTTATTGTTGTCGGCAATGTTTTTAACCTACGCGTGATTACACTTTTATCAATTAAAAGAATAAATTCTATATTAAAATAAACTTTATATTAAAAGTATAAAATATTAAAATTTACAATAGTAATATTTAAAAAATATACGAATTTGGTATAAAAAAAATATATATAAAAAGCCTAATTGCAATGATTGAAGTAAAAAAAATTTTAATCTTAAATTTTTAAATAGTGTTCGCGCCAAGCGTGAGAGCTGCACTGGTTAGGTGTGGTCAGCTGGTAGTGCTTGTGCGCCATTAGCTGTTAGGACGCCTTATCAGAGGTCTGTATTTTTTGGTCGTTTTATTCAAAAAAAATATATGTATCTGTTGTAGTATTATACAATTTAGGTTAAGTTACGTTGGTTTTTCATTAGTTAAGTGTTGTTTTTGTATGAATTAGTAGAACATTGTTTAAGTTTTGTTTTTAAAATACATTATTCATATTATTATTATGAAGGCATATAGTTGTTTTCATTTTTTTTTTACATTGGCGGGTGCATTGTTGTAGTGAAACTACAGATATTTTATTACTATTGTAAATTGTAATTCATTTTGTTCATATGGAGCATAGCTGCATGTAAGTAGTATGGAGTATTATATTTATCGATTATTCGGTTCGATAATGGTAGGTTCAGTTGTTCGTATCTAATTATTTAGTTGTATTCATTGAGCTGGGTAAGCTTATTTTGTGTTATCAAAAAATATTTTTCTTTTGGCAATTTTCAATTGATTAGAAACCTTATTTTTTATTGTTAGTTGCCCCTATTTTAATTCTGTACGACGGAGTTCCATTCTCCATTTTTATTTTGGATTTTTTTAGAACAGCCCAGGCAACAACAAATAGGGTTTAATTTTTTTTAACGTACACATATCGTATAACAAAAAAAATTATAAAACGTTTTAAATACAAAAAACTTGAAACATATTAGTAAAACAACGTTTAATTAAACCATATCATTAAATAAACAAATGTGATCGTTTTAAAACTTGTAACATAAAACTGAAAATTTTTTTTTTATTTTAAGCCCTGTTTACATAAATTTCAAAAGTTACAGATAAATTAAATAGCATATTACAATTTTTAACTACAAATTTTCTGATTCCAAAAAAAAAAGTTAACATCATTTGATTTTGAGTTACACAATCTTTATAATTAATACAGCTTAGATAAATTTCTCAAAAATTTACACTTAAAACCTAAGTTCATTGTGTGATATAATGGGCTGTTTTCGGTTTTAATACGCGTTCATAAAGCTTGCAGTTTAATAATAAATGAAGACTTATGCAAACACTTACTTCATTGTACCCGACGAAGTCGCCATTTGCTCTGATTATATTGAAATTAATAATGCCACCTTGGGTTTTTTGGCAAGTGTAATCAGTATCTGTATAAAGTTGAAACATAGGCTTTTGATTACCATGCTTCGCCTCACACATTTTTTTGTATAAGTAAGCGGCCAATTCAAACACTTTTTGACTGATTGATACCATAGATCCCGTTAATCGTTTCAGAGTATTCAATCCGTGACCAACTGCTATTATAGACAGAAAATTTATTGTTCCATCTTCAAACCTAATATATAATTCATATTTAAATCATTACATGTAATTGTAGTGGTTGTTATTTGAGGTAAAAGTAAAAATGATAAATTTTAAAGATTTAATTATTTTAGGTAATATTTCAGACTCAAAATAGCTACATTAATTAATTATAACTTCAATTTTTTCGATTTACCATGATTTTTTACCAATTATTTTTATCTAAGCGTTCAAAATCTAGAATTTAATCTAGTTTAAAAAAATTTGAAAACCTCCCCAATTTTAGAAATTTAGAAGAATATTTTAAATTTATAATACCAGAAAAAACTGCATTTTCAAGTACTTTTTTTTTTAAAAACATGATCCTAATCAATAGAATATTTTAATTGATCATACCAAAGTAAGTATACTTTCTTTTAGTATATTTTTTATAAAAAATTTAAAAACGGGAAGGGTTTGAAATTGACTGTCCAATCATTAAAAATTCTATTAAAAAATTCATTTTTTGAAAATGTTTTCATGATGTATTTAATATGAGAAAATTATATCTGAAGACAAAATTGTAACAAAATTTTGTTGGGTATTTTGGATATTTTTATCTTATTGGATATTTTGTATCACATTGGTTGTAATTTTTACTAGGTAATATTTAATAAATAATAATTTTGATAATAATAAATTATATTGACTATATATATAATGAGTCGCATTTACACAAAAAATAATTTACCATTCATGAAGTTTTGTCTTAGGCACGAAATAACGACTTTGAGACAATGTTATTTCTACGGTTCCACCGCCAAAATATCTTTTGCGGCTAAGTACAGGTTTTCCTCTATGATTGTGAACTATGAGAGCACCAAGACCGGTAGGGTAACCAAATATTTTGTAAAATGATATAGCGACGAAGTCCGGTGAGTATAAATCAAGGTCTAAGTGGTCGGTAGACACGTATGAAGCAGCGTCCAATAGTACATACCATCTGCATAGGAAAATTAAGTAAAAATTTTATATTGAATAGTATAGTAATGTATGTCATAGTAAATATACTTATTAAACTGTTTGTAATTAGCTTTGATCTTAAAGGTTTCATCAATTTTTTTTTTCTAAAATAGCTTTCTATAGTTAAAAACATTTAATAAATAAAATGCTATGCATTAAAAAAATGAAAAATCGAGTCCATCCAAAAAAATTTTCTAATTGTGAAATTCATCTGTATGAAAAACTAGTTAAAGTTATACAAATAGCTAAGATAACATCGAAAAGATAGCATATATTATATGCTACAGGGTTTTTGAATATCAATAAATATACAGTAAATAACTGAGAAACGACTTTTTGGTGCTTCCTACGATATTGATTTCAAGTCTTTAGTTTTTAATAATTAGGTGCGATTAAATCATTTTAATTATAGGGATTTATAATCATACATATACAATTTATAGCAATTATTAATCGTGGTATAAAATCGATGATGTAAACATACTGAGTTAATTTTATAATTTATTGAGTAGGGTATTCATTATTATAAAAATAATTTATATATTGACAAAAATGTCAGTATATAAATTTACATCAATGGGGTTGGCCTGACCCAGTGGGTAGAAACGTATGTTTGGCGCATTTAGTCCCATTTTCGATTTCCATAACACAAACGAGATTTTTCTTGTAATTTTCTCATTGGTGATGTCTGGTCTCTGATGTAAGCCTGATATAAACCCGTCCCAGCTAAAAACCAACTTTGACTCACTAACACGTGAAATAGGGCCACCAGTTTCTATAGTATGTTAAATTTGGAAAATAGAAGGATGTAAAACTGATCATATAAAATTACTCTATTATTAGTGTTTAAAATTTCATTTAATAATATTTTCATTTTTATATTTAATATTTTTTTTTTAGCGATGTTGTTTCATTAAAATCTTACTTGGAGGGTTCAATGTTTTCAGTATATTTATTTAGAACACCTTTTTTACATTTATCAATCCAGCTTAATGGGTACTTTACACCAGAGAAGTTTGATTGTGCTGGATAGACAAATAATGAGTTATTTGATTTTGACGAAGTTGATAAATAAACTTCTGTAGCATCAGTAACTTGAGTTGGACTTAGACACAACATTTTAATACCGGTTGCCAATTCTCTCATACCCAAAACTGACGTATGGTTGTCTAGTGTGTAGCCAAACGTGCTTATATTCAATTTAGATTCTAAAAGATAAGTTAAATTATATAATGTAATTTATATATCATAGATCAAGTCCTATATTCAGAATTATTCATAATTATTTTGAATACTAACGAGGAGAATTTTTTTTCAACTTATGAGATGTGCAACTCCATTTAAAACACTCAGCTACTAGTTTTAAAGCTCCAGTAGCTCCTGTGGTAAATATAATACTGTATTTTTCTGAATTAGTATTAAAATGTTTTAAAATTCTATAAAAAAAATAAAAATGGATTATTTTTTGTTCTTTTATGATTATTAATAAATTTACTTCATAATATTCTATTCTTTAATAGAACATTAGGTAATTAAATAAAACATGGTAGATTTTAGAGATATGTTTCAGAACAATAACCTTTTAAATTTTTATTCCCTATGGGAAGGGAATAAGAATACTTCCACGGCCCGTCTACCAGTCTCAAGAGACGACCGGTTGGGTTAGCTATATAGTGGGTGTAGAATTTTTTCAGAAAATATGAGGAGTCCTGAACAGAACTAGGGGATTGTCGTATCTCGGATGTACGAGGAGACAAAAAATGAGAGGAAATAAGTTATATAGAAACGGAAATGGCTTAAAGAATAAAGTATTTGATACCAGCCGGACAACTTGTGCGGTAGCTGGTTTCATCAGTCATGTGTACAGCTTGACCACACTCAACGCTCGTCATGATAACAGTGTAGGGACTTCATCACTCAATGTTTTGGAGAGAGGTGGATGAGGTGATGCAAGGAATATCTGGTAATGAGGATGTGGAGATAGATGAAGATATGAATGGACATGTAGATAATAAGAGGTGATAATATAGTTTTGTGAGAAGAATGAAGATGTTGAAAAAATCCTGGATTTTGCAATGTCGTATGATCTTGCTGTGGTATAAAAATAAGAGTAATAAATCACAGATTGATTATTTTATGTGGGAGAGAGAGAGAGTGAAAAATGAGTAAAATATGATATAGTTATCCCAGGGAAGAGTGTAACTACACAACATAGACTTATGATCAGGGGCGTCATTTCAGTTTTTTTTTTTAATGTGCGTGATTTCAGGTAGGCCATTTTGAAATTTCACAAGGCCATATAAAAATGGATATACTTAAGTAAATTATTCTTCTTTTAATTTTACCATAGATTATGAATCACAATCAACAAAGTAGTAAATATAAATTATAATAATACTTACTATTTTAATATTACATAATATAACGAAGCGTCGGGGTCGTAACAATCGTTGAATTTTATATTTATCAGTTCATTAACATTATCAATTATTGCTGTTAATTGAGCGGCAAAAAAATCGTGATAAAAACGGTAGCACAGTGGGTCCGTGGCACAGTATGGACGTGGCATAGATGGGTCAAGTATAGATTATATCTGACAGTGATTGAAATCATTATCATGAGAAACGCTTCGATACAAATCTGTAGATAGTATTTAATTCTAATAAATCGGTGGATTATTCCTAAAGCATAATAAACTCCTATTTTTTGCTATACATTGACTGCCATTTTGACATAGAAAATAGGTCGTCGGTACACATTATTTTTTTGAACTTCTAGTACATAAAATAAGCTTTATTTTAACATATTTTTAAAAGACATAGTATTCCCAGAACATTTTCAAAAGTTAAGTTGAAAAAGTTACTATTTTAAATCTCTTCTTGTGGGTTGGTGAAGGGTTAGAATTTCAAAAATATTTTATTAAATAAAAGGGAATTACTTAATGTTTAAATAAAAAAAAATAATTATTTTTATTTCTTCATTTTTCAATAAGTTATGGAAATTTTTAGAAAAGACAAGTGAAAAAAATGTCGAAATTTACTGATTTTAAAAATCGTAATTTTTTGTGGTATTCCACCATTTACGGGGAACTAGGAAAATTTTTTCAATTTTTGAGGGTAATGTATTCAATTAAATATGATTTGTGATCTTTTGACGTATCGCTGAGAAAAATCGGTCCAGTGAAAGCTGAGAAAAAGTAATGATAGACAAAAAAATAAACACATCATGGTAAAATTAATTCCTTCTCAGATTCGTATCGAAGCTAAAACTGTTACGAACATCAATATCAATATCAACATCTTGTATCCGGTACAAATATCAATAGTTCAGTAAGATATATTTATTGTTTACTCAATTAATTTTTACCAGAATATTTGTTTATTGAATCATGATAATACAAAATAGAAAAAGGTGGATGTTCCAAAGGTTATGTTGTTGATTGCAATATAAAAACGTAAAAGAAATATTCTTATGTGAAAAGGATTAGACGTGAGAGAGTACGAGTGAATTATTACTTATGATAAATTATTTTGTTTTATCGGAATTTGATATAATTCGAGGGATCGAAAATAATAAGGTTATTAAAATAATTTACAGCACGGACCTATTCTTTTGAAGTATTAAATTGTAGGAATACGGTTTTATATACAGAGTGTTCAGTAAGTCAGGAAACGGGTTTCTATTGTTCTCATTGTTACAAACAATGAGAACAATAGAAACCCGTTTCCTAACTTACTGAACACCCTGTATATCAAGCAAATCCGAGTGGCATGTGGGTTAACATAGCCATGCTCCAGAGACATCATGCTCGAGTGGCGTTCCATGCTGTTCTATGCTATTTTACTTTACCTAGTAACTACTGCACTATTGCTAATGCATTAAAAAGTAGAGAATAGAAGAAAATAGTGAATGAGAGTAAGCTATCTTAGCCTTTCTACTTTATATAGTTGATAGTCCCATCTCTTATATTTTTGGTAATCACAAATGTCGTACTGCCTTTTTAGACTATTTTATTACTGAACACCCTGTATATTTTATAATGTATTACCCGGTAATCATGACATAGATAACTATTACATGAAAATATTTATATTTAAATTACAAACTATTTTTATGATACAAGTTTGGTACATAATACAATTTTTGTAACATTATAATTTTCTTAAAATTTACATACGAATATTTTAAAAATTATTTAAAAGTAATATATGTAGATATACAACATAATGGAGTTGTGGTGTAGTGGGAAGAGATTATACAAAAGCAGAAAGAACATAGGAGGAAAATCAAAGATCCGGTGTTAGAAATTGAAAGAGAAAAATAAAAAAGAGTTTTTAAAGACGGTGAGAGAGAGGAATGTGTTGAATATCAAGAAAGACATATAAGATGTGTGGAATAGATTTTTTAATTGTGTAAAGATACTGCAAAGAAGATTGTTGGTGAGTATAGGAATAGAATTCCAGAAAATAATAAAACCTGATGGTAGGATGACGACATTCAGAAAGTCATGGAGAATAAGAAAAAGCAATTAAAATTATAGTAGAAGAGCAAAAGAAGAGAAGATTGGATGGGGTATAAACGCTTTTGTAAAAGATGCCATGTTTGCTGTAAGCAAGGCGAAGTTTAAGAGGTATTATAGGCTAGGAACAAAAGAAGGAAAATAAGAAGTCTATAGACTTACAATAGTATGAGAAAAATGGTCTAAAAATTATCACAACATAAGGTGTATAAAAGTGATTAAAGGGTGTTAACAAGCGATGATTATGCGAAAGAAGAGAAAAGAGTATTTTGAAATATTACAGAATGAGGTGTATCCAAGAGAGGCATTAGGGGATATCTCATGGAACAAGGGACTGATAGATTTAATTAATGAAACAGAGGTATGGGAGGCTGTGGTATCAATGAAAAAAAAAAATAAAGCAGTAGAATAGATGAAGTGCTAGTAGAACTATGAAAAATATTAGGCAGTATTGGTATAAGGTAATTGAAGGTTATTTTTAATAAAATCCTATTAGAAGAGAAAATGTCAAAAGAATGGAGGAATAGTATTGTGGTGTCAATATTTAAAGGCAAAGAAGATGTACAGAAGTGTGGAAATTATAGAGTCATTAAAGCTTATGAGTTATAGTATGAAGATTTGGAAAAAGGTAATAGATAAGAGAATGGGAAAAGAGACATCATTATTTAAAAACCAGTTTGGACTTAAGTATTGGTAAGTTAATGACGGAGCCATTATTATGTGTGAGACAACTAATATAAAAGAACAATGAAAAAAAGAAATCCTACCTTTTTTATGGTATACAATTAATTTTTTAAATATATGAATATTTTGATTAAAATTAAATTAGAGTCAATAAGACCGAAAAATGAGGTTTCAAAATAAAAAATTCAGTGAATAGTCTCGTGTGATTATTTATTATGTCTCAAATATATTTAGAAAATAAGTCAGTAAATAGATAAATTATTTTAAATTTTAAATAAATTATGATATTTATAAAGGTGTATTAGATTAGTACGTAATCCTGATTTACATAATTTTAATGAAAACCTATCGTCAAATCACTCGTTACAAACGTATATTTGAAAAGAAAAATAATTGAAACCTTCAATGAACAAACACCAAAATTAAAAAAAGTTGAATTGCTTAGTATGTAAAATTAATATAATATTACATTATTTAGCTTTAAATACAGGTTATTATACAAGTTAATGAACAAATTTGTAATTTAATTTAACTACACAAAACATTGAATAATAATTTTAAAAAATAATTACAATCTAACAATAATAACAAAATTTTCGCTTTTTTATGATAGTTTAATTATTTTAATGGATGCAGAAAACAACGATTTTTACGGCAAAAGAAGGTATAATCTAGAAGTCAACGCCAAAATTGTTTTAAATATAGATTTAAATTCAGTAAAAAGTTGTTCTGATAATGGAGCTCGTTGACTTTGATTATAAGAATGAAACAGAATCGACTTAGAATGTTATATTTGAAACGGTTATTACTTAACACTTCAGTAAAGTTGAAAATAGTCCTAATAATATTAAAGAAAATCACTTTGATAATATAATCAAAGTACTTGATCAAGTAGAATCGATATGGAATTTTGTATGAAGGCAAGGATATGTGCTCGTATATATTTATACTAATTGTAAGTTAAATTTATTTTTTTTTGTTTATATAATGGTTTGTTTGTGATGTTTTTTGGAAATGACTTTGATTTAATTTTAGCTTCGATGCGAATCTTAGAAAGTATTAGTTTTACTATGATTTTTTTTTTGTCTGTTACCACTTTTTCTCAGATTTCACCGAACCGATTTCTTTCAATGATACGTCAAAAGATCACAAATCGTATCTAGTCGAAGACATTACCCTCAAAAATTGAAAAAAATTCCCTCGTTCCCCGTAATTGGGGGAAACCTCCAAAAAAATTACAAATTTAAAAATCGCTAATTTTCGAAATTTTTTCAATTTTTTTACTAAAAACTGCCGTAACTTTTTTAAAAATGACCAAATCAATATAATTTTTTTTTCTTAGATGCATGATGTCTTTGCTTATCATTTGGTATATATTTTTTATAAATCTAACCCTATACCTGCCCACAGGGAGGGATTTAAAATGACAACTTTTACAACTTAACTTTTGAAAGTGTTCCGGAAAGTCTGACACTTATATATATATCTTAAATTAAAGCTAATGTAATATACTTTATCATGAAAATAAAAAAAATTACGGACTTTATTTTGTCTTCACGGTGAAAATGAGCTACCGAATGCTATATTTGTGTGACATACTATTTTTTAAAATAATATCATTTCCCTTTATATTTTTATACATTATAAATAATAATATATTTATATATATATATATTCATATATTACACTTATGAATCATAAAACATGTAATCAGGATATAAATAAGGAAATAAGAGATCATGTAGCTTTCGGAATAATCCACTAATTTTTTAAAATTAAACACTATCTAAAGATTTGCATTGAAGCGTTTTTATGATAGTGATTTTAATCACTGTAAGATATCATAATACTTGATCCAACTATGCCACGTCACCATTGTGCCGCGACCCCACTGTGCTAGGTTTTTATATGATAAAATATTTTTTTTTATTATTGTATAATATTGCAAAATTAAATCTCCATAGATTTAACTATAATTGAAAACAAAATAGAAAAATATCATAATAGTATTATGATAATACCTATTTTAATTCTACAATTATCTAATAGAATTTTTAATTTTATATAGTATTTCCAAATTATTTTGTTTTTTTTATACTAATCGATTAAGTACTTAAATAACAGACTCATGTTTAAATTTCTCATATCTAAAGAGACCTTTATATCTAACATGTGAAGTAAACATTCACAGTTAAGCGCATATTTAATGATGTCTTAACTACCAAACTGATCGACTTTCAATTAATAATCTCTTTCAAACAAAATATAAAAATTTTAATGTAAAATAATATTGTATATAATTGTTAATTTATCTTAATTTTTAAAATGATATATTTTTATATTTAGTTTTATGTAAATGTATAATATCTTGTAACAAATGGCCAAAGTTTTAGATCAATAAAAAATTTGAATATGTTATTTTTTACAGATTTTAGTTATTTTTCTAATTTATTGTAATTGAATAGAATTAAAAAGAAAATTGAATCCGATTGGTCTAACTAGTTTCAATTCGGGTTCTTTTGATGTTTTAATCATAAAAATTAGCTTAGTATTATTTAGTAATTATTTTCACGGACAAACATAAAGAAACATACCATGGTAAAATTAATACATTCTTAACTTAGCATCAAAGCTAAAAAGAAATAGACTGTGTCTAGTTTATAATGTTGGCTTATTTTACTAATTATGTTTTACTATAGTGAAACATAATAATGATTCAATATTACTGTATTGAAAATTTGTAATAAAATCTGACTAATTTTACGATTGTGAGTCCAAATTTTTTTTTAAACGTGCAATGAATACTATAAAAATGTGTTCTCATTTTTAATTTTTTGCAATAACTACAGTATTGAAATTATATACTTATGCCGTATGTTTTCGATTAGCTCATCACATATGTTTGAAGGTCGTCCAGATGAATGAGGATTCCCATATAAATTATCTATTAAGTCGTCTGTGATTTTATTTATTTGACTGTCTGTATATAAAGCTGAACCGGCATTGTCCAAATAATATACACCTTTTACATATTAAATATTAATTATAATAAAAATTTAAAAAAGAAAATCAATATATTTAATTTTTAATTTTTAATTTTTCGAACAATTGGACTTCAATATAGTAATATATTATAATATAATAATAAATTACAATATAGTAGTCTTAATTATAATTTAAAATTAAAAATTTTAGGGAATGATCAAGATTGACAAATAGTTACTATTAATTTTTAGTAATTGTATCAGGCTACAATTAGAGTTTAATAAATATTTTTTAAAGATGTATTATATGTTTTATTTTAAAAATATTTGCATTTCTAGTTGTATATCTATATCTAATCTCTTTTCAGAATTTCTAACATAGATAAATAATGTACCTTTAAGTCTTTTGAATTCATTTTTAATTGGTCCATGTAATTGGTTTTCCATATCATTTATATTTAAGTATTCACTTTATTTAATTGATACATTTATATAAGTTCTTTAAGTAAAATAATGTGCAATATACACACTATGAAAATAAATAAATATGTCAAAGGATCGTTTCGTTGCTAACTGAAAAGCTAATGTCGTGATGGTACAGAAACCTCTTTAGTATTCATTTTACGGAAGACCTATAAATGAGATCGTTTTACAGATATTAGGTTACCTAAGATTGTATAAATATATACAATTTTTGTCTACTTTTTTTATGATAAACTAACTTTAAATTTTTTTCTTATATTATAAAACTAAAAATTATTATCCAATTTAATGTTTATAATAGTATTGTAAAAACACAATTGGCAGAAGTTTTTTTTTTATTAAATTAATTTTGTTCTATTTTTAGATAAATTAGTTCAATACTTTATTCTTTTGTAAAGTAAATTATAAATTGATTATATTGAAAGATATTTTTATATATCATTGCAATTTTTTCAGATTTTGCTAATTTACTATAAAAAGTCTTCATTGTAAGGTACATTTTTTATATAAATTTTGAATAATGTAGGTAAAAAAAAAGTACAATAATAAGTAAAATAAAACGATTATAGATAAAATTGTTTATTTTTATATAAATCAAAAATTTATTTTAGTAAATTACTTTAAATGAAAAATATATAAGTGGTAAAATAGATGTGTTTAGTGCTACAACATTAAATGATATCTTATTTTACGAAATAATGTTTTATTAATAATGAAAATTTGGATAACAAAATTTAATAAAAGAACTACAAATATTTTAACTATGATATTTAAATTATTTAAAGTTAACAGAAAAAATAATATTTATGGTAAAAATTATTGTATATATTTTAATTGCATATATAAAGCATTTTTATTCTAATCTTACAATATCTCTTGAGCGTTTTTATTTAGCGATTATTATCAATAAATTATAGTTAATAAATAATTATAAAACTTACCAAAATGTTAAGTAATAAAAAAATATTATATAACTATTATTGCTCATGACTTATCAAAAAATTACGAGAACAAGGACATATTTATTTCAAAGACTATAAGAAAAAAACGTTGATTTTAATTACCATTAACGGGTTCTTAAGTGTTCATAAATTTGAAAAACCTTCCCTTTGTTTTATCAAATTCTGTAACATTTAAGAGCCTCGAAAATGTTTAAAATAAATGTTTGGTTCAAATAGTCTTTTCTTTGCAAAACTACATACTCTCATAAAAAATTGAAAATATTTTAATAATATAATATTAATTATTAAAATAAAACTAAATGTACTTTAGTAAATTTATAAGAGGTAAAATTAAAAAAAAATCTTATCAACCAACTGGTTATTTAAATTTAAAATATTTTTTACGATTAAAAATTTGATAATTGGAAAAGCTTAAATTTATTTAACAATATTTATCTAAAAATGGAGCTATACATTGTTAATTGATGGATGAAATGTATTTAATGGTACTAAATAAAATAAATTATTGTAAAACATATAAGCTTATTAAAATCTAAATTATAAATGTTTAATCTTACATTATTGTTTTTAATAGAAAATATTTTTTATATTAGTGTAATACAGTAATGATTAATTTATGTTAGTTTTATAACTTAAATAGTTTTAACTTGTAACTGACATTGCATAAAATTAATGATAAAATATTAAGGTGAAAATTATTTTCTAATCTATAGTAATCAAATAGAAATTACTTATTTTATAAGTTACACTTAAATACAAGATTTATATTTATCATAATTTTAATTATATATCTTAACCTTAAATTAAAAAAAAATTATTTCAAATTATTAGAAAAAGTAAGTGCTATTATTATAATTTATAATTATAATGTGTTTTATAGACTATATTTATAAGTAATATACTATAATACAGTACAGAAATTTTGTGATATAATAAAAAAATTAATTTTTTATAAAATTTATTGCATTTATAAAATTTTTATAAATGCTATTTTAAATAAACTACTATTTATAACATTTATAATAAATTTTAATGAATCAAATTTAGACAATAATAGTATTTTTAAGTAGGTTTCATAGTCAAAATTAAAATATTTCAAGCAATTGTTAGTAAAATTTAAGAAAATAATGCATATAATAAAACAAAATTAATAAATCTATTCTTGTTGGATGTCTACAGTAACTTCAGATGATTTGAGTTCTGCTTGTGTTAATGATATAGCTGTTTTAGTTGTTGGAGATTTAATGCTTTCTGAACCATTGTTGCCACGGTTGAGTACGCGGCCTAAGGGAAAAAGTTATTTTATAAAAAGTAATTTTTTACACTTTGAATTATAAGTGTGATTAATATTTTACAATTATATCGTAATACATTTTTATTTATCATTCTTCTTCTTCTTCCTCGCCTTAATCCCAACTACTTGGGGTCGGCTACCATTATCCTAAACTTCCACTTGACACGATCTCCCACATTATCTACGCTCACATCAGCTGTCCTCAAATCGCATTCAATAACATCTCTCCTTCTCTCTTTTGGTCTTCCTCAACCTCTTCTTCCTTCAACATTAATTTCTACAATTGTTCTTACGGCTTCCGATTCTTTTCTTCTCATAATATGACCAAACCATCTAAGTCTATTTTCTCTCATCTTATCCACGATTGACGCTACGCCTACACTCCCTATTATATGCTCGTTTCTTATTCCATCTTCTCTAGTCATTCCAGTCATCCTTCTACGCATTCTCATTTCTGCTATACTCATTTTCTGCTCTACATTCTTATCAACCGCCCAACACTCTGAATCATACATCATAGCTGGTCTCACTACAGTCTTGTAGAATTTACCTTTCAGCCTCATTGGAATTCTTTTATCGTATAAGACACCAGACGCTTCTCTCCACTTCAACCATCCGCACTTAATCCTGTGTTTTACATCCTCGTCAATACTACCGCTCCTTTGCATAACTGATCCTAAATATTTGAAACTTTTCACCTCTTCAATCACGTCCTCGCCTATTGTCACTGGTCTCCTTATTTCACCTACCTCGTGTTCTCCTTTATCAAACTCATACTCTATATACTCTGTCTTGGTTCTACTTATTCTTAAACCCTTTTTTTCAAGAGCTGATCTTTACACCTCTAGCCTTTGATTAATTACCTCCCTATTTTCTTCTATTAACACTATATCGTCAGCAAACAACATGCACCAAGGCACCTCTACTTGTATTTTTCGAGTAATTTTTTATTTATCATTATCATTAATTCAACTATCATTAAAAGGAAAATCAATGAACTAGTTAAACAATTAACTTTTATATTTTAGAGAAAAAATATGAGGGTAAAGAAAACATGCATTTTTTACAAAAAGATCTACTTACTAAGTAAAATTGAAATAAAGCCAGCAATTTATAATATTGGAAAAGAATTCTAAAATTTTGTTCTAATATAAAATATTTTTAACAGAATTATTTAATTCTGTTGTACTATTTAATCATTATTTTGATATAAAAATAAAATTACGATTTAATTTTGATTAATCCAAATTAATTTTTTGATATTATTGGGATGAATCGCCTATTTTGAAATTTTAATTCGATCTCAGATGATTTGAAATTTTCCAATAAATAGTTCAATGTTTAAATTGTTAAATTATATCAAAATATTGACCATATTTGTATGTGTCATTGATATGCATGTTTAAAATTTATTACTTGATCGATTTGTTGAAAAATATTTTAACATCTGTGGTAGTTCAATTACTACTAAAAAATATTTTTAAATTGCATATTTTTTTTTAACGAAAAATACTATTCAAGAAATTGTTTTTATAAATAGATAATAAGTGGTTTAAATTCTCCACGATAAGACGGCGAAGCTTATGAAAGATAGAGATAGAGGTTCTAACCTAAGGAAGGCGATTGGGGCTTCAACGAGGCCATGCTTGGTTGTCTCGAAGGGGAATGGGTCTTTGTACTGGATTTGCTACCTCTACGTTCGCCAGAAGCTCCTGGTGGAGGTTTATTATCTCTTAGTAAAGACACATTCATCAATCTTGGATTAGGTGTATTAAAAATTGTACGGTTTTCCCTCCATCGTGCTCTGCAAACAAGTAATATATTTTTTAATTAAAAATTTGTAACTATAATGCACAAATAATTATATTGATAACATGTAAAAAATGTGAAAATGAAATTTGAAAATTAATATATCAGGACAAAACGATGTAGATTTTTACTTGCTGAATAATCGGAGTACAACGCATATGATGATGAACATTAAACACATTCCACCTAACACGCATAGCATTGCTGGATCAGTATACGGTTCTGAATTAGAATAGTTTTTTGCTAAAATTAAAATTATTTAAGTTGAACTTTTTACAATAAAATATTGAATTCAAATTGAAAAATGTACATAAAAATTATTAAGCTTATGGGTCAATCCATGCCAAATCATCCAGAAGTGGTTGCACAACCACCTCATATTTTTCTGAAATTTTCAGGGTTTATTCATTATGCTATATTTAGATTAAAACAATTTTTTTTTTTTATGATCTTCCCATTTTTATGGCTATACAATACCACATGTAAAAATCACAATAAAATAATAACTTCTTAATGGTTTTAAGTGAGCTCAAAAACGCCAATTTTCACAAAAAAAGCGCAATTTTTTGAAAGTCATTAAAGTTTAGAATTTCACATAATTTTTTTTTTTTTTTTAATGTAAACTTTAAGTTATAATAGGGTCAAATCTAAAATTTTAATTCGATTGAGTTGAAATTGAATAATCTGTGTGTTTTTTAACGATCTAGCTATTTTTAACTTTTTTTACATTGAAATAGCCATAAAAATGGGAAGATCATAAAAAAAAAAAATTGTTTTAATCTAAATATAGCATAATGAATAAACCCTGAAAATTTCAGAAAAATATGAGGTGGTTGTGCAACCACTTCTGGATGATTTGGCATGGATTGACCCATAAGCTTAATAATTTTTATGTACATTTTTCAATTTGAATTCAATATTTTATTGTAAAAAGNTTATTAAAGATTATTTTTTAAGTGAAAAAAATTTAGAAAATATTCATTACTTACCAATACATTCAGTAATCCCTTCATTATTTAAGACTGGCGTTCTTTCAAACCTACAAACACATATATCATCTCTACATTCAGTTTGAAAAACACTGGCCTCGCATTGCTCATTAAAAAAACATGCTTCGTTAATCGCAGCCTCTAAAATTAAAAACAATAATTAAATAACGTTTAAATCAGGGGTTTATGTATGAAGAACCAAGGGAGCCTATCATTATCAAAATTTTAAAATTATTTTTTATTATATGTTGTATAATATACAAATGCCTATTTTAATTGTTCAAAGAATTATATTCTTATTCAAATAAGAAGTAGTAATACAGTTTTTATTTCATTTAACTATGAAAAGTTTTAGGATCAAGTTTTCTTTAACATTATTTTTATCAAAATTCCTCATCTCGCTATAGAGAATTTTTTTCATATGAACATTTTTAACTTGTGTCTACTTTATCGTCAGTCTTAACTTGTAATCAATATTTTATTAATAAGTGTATTAAAATGTTTATAGTTAATTTTATATATATTATATATAAATACATGACTGGTTTTGTTTCCCTTTTGTTACTGTACGTGATATTTTTCTTATAAAAAAAGATGAATACATCTAAGTCTATATATATGCCTATTTTTAACTTAAAATCGTTGTTTCATAAATGAACTTTTTATTGAAAAGGCTTCAATTAAATTAAAGTAGTGTTTGAAGAAATATAAGTTGACATCAATAAATAACAATCTATTATAGTATTTTAAATTTGGGTCAAGCAGCTTTTAGAAGCTGTTATTATCCATCATAGTTATACATCCATTATAAGTATTGTTTTTTAATTGGCGTCAACTCCATTAATATTAAACAATCAAGGGTTGGTTACGGGTAACTGTTTTAAGCATGTTTGTTTAAGTCATTTAAATAATACTAGTCATTCTTAGACTCATTTGAATTATTTATAAATTTGGCAGCTTTTGAATAAATATAAAAGGCAATGAACTTAAACATATTTTATGTGATGTGTTTGATTATATTTAAAATGTTTTTTTTACAGAAAAGTCGCTTAAAAAAAATGTAAAATGAAGATGTATAGTTTTTGACTGCTAATTATCATCAACTCAACTACTATCTACACTTTTTGGGAGTAGATGAATAATCCATTGAGTCATATCACGCCTTTTTTTAAAAATAAGAAATTATTTGGCTAATTCTTTAATAGACTTATAGGGTAGCTTATACATTTTATAGTAGTCTGTCTAGACTGTCTTGGTAAGTTGGGGAAGTGCCATAAATACGAAATCAATTTTCTATTTTGAATTTAGAAAAAACACAATTGCACTTCTTACTACAGTAAAAAGCCATAATATCTGTTAAATAAATATATATACTGTATTATATATTTTTTCATCTACAATGAACAGTCAATTCTGTCTAAATTATAGAATCATTCAGAATCAAAGAAAGAGTTATCATTTTTTCTTTGATAGGTACTTGTTACTTTAAAGAATATCGACGAATAAGTATTAAATGATTACGTCCATATAGTGCCCATTTCAATTATATTAATTGCAGTTATTCGGTGAATAAATCCTTAATATATGATTAGGTGTTGTCAATTTTTTGATTATCTGATCGAAACCAAATATTGCGTGACTGTTAGCTTTTTGCTTTTATACATACTATATGCGTTGTAAGTATAATTATAAGAACCTTAAGTACAAAAACCTATAAAATCTGTAAGTACTCATGATTGTTTATATCAGCTTACCTCACATTATTAATGCTATATAATTATGATTATATGTATATTTATCTCACATTCAACACTTAATTCATCTCATTGTAAAGCTAAAAAATACCTAATGCGGGAGAATTCAGTGGCTATTATTTGGATTTAATGAGGTTAAACTTTAAGAATATACTATTAGCTACACTATTTTAAGTTTTATTAAAAAAATAATTAAAAAAATTATTTTGCTTTTTAAGATTACATGAAAGAAAAAAACGCATATAAAATTTTACTTAGTCTAATTACAATTTACAAATAACTTCATTTTTTAAAAATCCTTTAATATTTTATTTAAACTGAATATATTTTAGTAAATGTAATTTTCATTTGTAGAAAGAGAATTTTAGTGATGATTTTGTAATATATGGAGAATGTTATTGAATATTTTAGCTGTTTCGAGATAAGAAAATGAATATGACATCGTGACGCATAGAAAAATAAACGACCGTCGCTTATTCAATGTATGTTAAAGATATAAGATAAGTTGTTTTACATGAGTTAAGTTCCGGAAGTATAAAAATGTATGAGGCAGTGTGTTCTTGTAAAATGATGATACGCTGATACACGGAACAAGTATAAAAATCTAATACAGATCAGAATAAACAGTAAAAACTCTTGTTCTGTACCAAAGTAATTTGTATATTGTTACGAGGAAGATATGCATAGAATATTTTTATCCCTTCAAATGAAGAAAAATCCTTATTATCTACACCATATAATTTTCAGATGTTTAGAAGGACAACCATATTCCTTCATATTTCCGTTACTATGTTGGACATTGATATTTTCAAATTATTTTATTTTTAATAGAACAAATAGTATAAAGCAGTCGGTTATAGCTTGATCAATGTTCTAGTGTGCATATATAGTACTTATATTACGACATGGCTACCGTCACAAAAGCTTTAAACTACTCACGCGAACTTATTTCCGAGGTCACACGATATATGGGGGAAAGAAACGATGTAATCAAATAAATTTTCGTCATATTTTTAATGGTCTTTTGTTGTTTTGCATTGACACGGCTGTACATTGGCAATATTAAGCTTTAAGGAAACATTATAAATTCAGCAGAAGTATTAACGGTGATTGTCAAATCGAATCGTTTTGTATTAAATTTCCCTTGAAATAGTTGCATATGTGATATAAAATGTAAACAATATAGGTAAATAAAAAATTTAATTTTTGAAAAATACTTAATTACATCGTGGGAAAAAAAGGGATCAGTTATTTTAGCTTCGATGCGAAGCTGAGAAGGTATTGGTTTTACTAAGATGTGTTTTTTTTTTTTTTTTTTTTTTTTTTTACCANGATCAATATCATATCAATATAATTCTTTCTTTTATAGATGCATGATATCATTACTTATCATTTGGTATATTTTTTTTATAAATCTGACTTTTTACCTGCCTACAGGGGGGGATTTAAAATGACAACTTTTTTTAAAAAAATTAATTTTTTCAACTTAACTTTTGAAAGTGTTCCGGAAGGTCTGACACTTTTATATATATCTTAAATTAAAGCTAATGTAATATACTTTAT